GGGTTCCACGTTTACTACTTGGTACAGAGAGGGGTGAACCTTCTTTATTCTTTGATTTGATGATGCATTTACTTGACAAAGGAATATATAGTATGAAATGATTAGAAACTTGGAATTATATAAGGATTTTATTTGTTTATTACTTCGTTTTTAAGTATAATGTTGTTTGCTTCTTCCTTCGTTTGTTTGGTTTTACTTGGGAATGAGAGTTGTCGGTTCGAAACTCATTGCTAAGCATGATCAAGAGTACTCAAAAAATGAAAATGAATTAGTATTCAACAACAATAACGACCACAAACTAGTAATGTTCCTAATAAATTTGGAGCTACATGAATTCTTTTTACCGTCCCGTTTGGTTTATGTCGTTAGATTTGATAAGGTTCTACGCTGGTTATCAACTTACGGCAACCCTCATTTGCTTGGGCTTGGGTTCAGCTTTGAATAACATAGGCAGCGTTAATTCGTTTATAACATATTCATTTTGTTAAATGGTCAATGTTGATGGAAGCATATCAGTCACTAGCTGATTAAGCAGTAGCAGCTTTGACTATAATGGCATCTATATTTTGATCTTTTTTCAGATAAGGCATTAGATGCATTACGAAGCTTTATAAGATATCTGATTCCAAGTTTATTAGGAATAATCTTTGTGTTTTTTCCTTTAATTGTTTGACTTCTTTTCCATTTCATCGTCACTGACAGAACTTTCTCCATGAGCAACAGAAGCATCACCTGCGATGTTATGAATACTAGTCTTGCTGCAAGAAAAAAATTACTTGACTTGTATGAAGTTTGACATAATGAAACAAATGGAGCATGCTAGGCTTGCCAAACATGTTTGATCTTTCAACTTTTTTAGAAGATCTGTTTTTTTAGATTTTAGTTAAAAACTTACTTTCTAAAGAAGTACTTTTACTTTTTATTAAGCTTAGCCAAACATGCTTGTAGCCGTGGAAAGAAATTTTTTCTCTCTTGATAAACCATAACCACTTTCTGTTGATCCCATTGCTTATATCCTATGATGACTCGGGTACGGGTATCGGTACGTATCTAAATATCAGATCTTTTATTTTGTAAAATATAAGATACGAGGACATGATTAAAAAAAGTTTAAATTTTGGACACGGGTACCTGGGTATGCCTTTCAAAGTTTAGTTTTTTTCCTAACTCAAGATATCATTTTGAATAGACCAAAACCAATTGTTCACATAGAAGGAAATGAGTATTGAACAAGATATTAAGATGAATAAAATTGAATTTTTGGGTTTATGCGAAGTTAATTACTTCGCATAAAATAGAAAATGTTATATAAAATAGAAAATGAGGGACTTAATTGCAATTTCAAATTAGTGAAGCAATAAGTAGCACTGAATGGAACTCATTTTCATTTTATACCATCAAAACCTAAACTACCAATACTGAGAAGAAAAAGAAAAATGAAAAAAGAAAAAAACAAAAGGAACAAGGAAAGAAAAGAAAAAAGAAAGAAGAAGAAGGGGGGGAAAACCTAGTGCCACCGCCTTTTTCCACCTTCTCGGCGGCAGCGCTAGGTTTACAGAGAGCAGAAATGAGAAAGAAGAAAAGGAAAAGAAAAGAAAAAAGAAAGTAGAAGCAAAAATGGAAAAGTGTCGAAATGATATTTGGAGAATCCGACACATATCTCATACCCGTACTCGTGTCGTGTCGTGTCGTGTCCGACACGGGTACTTCAACCATTTTGAAGAGTCCGAGCATCAGAGCTTATATCAATCAATGGTTGTTAGCAATATATGTCTTGAACAGTTATAATTGAAAATTCTAAATCACTTTCAACAGAATGTGAATAGAGAGAAATCTAGATTCATATATGCTGCTATTAGCCTTCACTTCCAGCTCGGAAAGTTTGACCACTATTTCTTGAGAATTTATATAAGAAGGAACAATCCATGTTCCTCCACTCAATAATACATTACTTTCAACTCGAGAACACTTGGGGTCCTCGTCCTGCTTTTGCTTGCTTCCGTTCATTCTGTCTTAAGATTATAGCTTAACTTACATACTTCCATTATCATTCTTTTGCTGTATGACCTTTTCAATTGTAAAAGTGATTTCTTTGAATTGAATGCAAACTGAAAGTGCTTAGTGTAGACTTTTTGTTGAGTATTAGACTAACCACAATCTATTGCTATGCTATTGACCAATCTACCCTCCAATCTAACCAGCATTTGTTTTCTCTGTATAGAACCATTTTCTAGTCTCATCTCGAATGGGTCATCGTACTGAGGAGTCGATGGATACGGAAGAGATCGCTTTTAGAAGTTTGTCATCTTCAAACCATCATAATTTTCCTCATGTTCACAAGGTAGGTGTACCTCCGAAGCAAACCCCGTGGAAGGAATTCTCTGCCATGTTGAAGGAAACATTCTTTGCAGATGATCCTTTACGTACATTTAAGGATCAATCCAGGTCTCGGATGTTCGTTCTCGGGATGCAAGCTGTATTTCCGATACTTGATTGGGGTAGAAGTTATAATCTAGCTAAACTTAAAGGAGACTTAATTGCTGGGCTTACCATTGCGAGCCTTTGCATTCCTCAGGTACAATATATGCATACAAGATATATACAAGACACTGGGAATTTAAGAAGTTTTTTGTATTTTGATGATTTAATTTCTGTTACTTGCGCAACAGGACATCGGCTACTCAAAACTTGCAAATTTAGCTCCTCAATATGGTTTGTGTAAGTACCGGATATTCATTCAGTACATGTTTAGTATGGAGTACTAGATATGACTGAATTGTATAATAAACAAGCTTTAGCTTATTTTTGTTCCGTAATGCCATCCTTGTTAATCTACAAGCCAAACGCATCATAATTAAAATGTATCCTTTACCAATGGTTTGATGACAAGAATGTGATCACGTGCTTTTTTCTTTTCCCCTGCATAATGTGTTGACTCAATCAGATTCGAGCTTTGTCCCTCCCTTGATCTATGCCTTCATGGGTAGCTCGAGGGATATAGCCATAGGGCCAGTTGCTGTCGTTTCTCTACTCCTGGGGACTCTACTACAGAACGAGATTGATCCCACTAATAATGCAGTCGAATATCATAGACTTGCCTTCACAGCTACTTTCTTTGCTGGCATCACACAAGCTATCCTCGGCATTCTTAGGTATCTGAGTTCAATTGTTGTTGAACTAGTCAATTTCTGCGAAATTTTCTGCTTTCCGATTTTTATGCTGGCAGTTTTGTAGTCTTTTACTGCTATTTAATTTTGGTTTTATGTGCAGATTGGGTTTCTTAATCGACTTCCTATCTCATGCTGCCGTTGTTGGTTTCATGGGAGGTGCTGCCATAACCATTGCACTCCAACAACTTAAAGGATTTTTAGGCATAAAAAAATTTACAAAGAAGACGGATATTATTTCAGTTATGCAGTCTGTGTGTGGCTCCGCCCACCATGGAGTAAGTTCTCTCCCTCTCCGTGTGCATGAATTACCAGCTGTAAATTGGAACGGGTACTTAGAAATTTCCAATATTTTCTATTTCAGTGGAATTGGCGGACGATTGTGATAGGATCAACATTTTTAGCCTTTCTTCTAATTGCCAAGTACATTGTAAGATGCCCAACTTCCGAGTTCCGTCCAATATATATTGTACTTCGGATGATTTTCGGCTTCATTAGAAATTCTAACATGATGTGAGGTGCAGGGGAAGAAGAACAAGAAACTCTTTTGGGTACCGGCTATCGCTCCACTGATCTCTGTTATTTTGTCTACATTCTTCGTGTATATTACCCACGCAGAGAAGAGAGGAGTACAAATTGTTAGCTTTTTTTTATTGCTTTCATTTCATAACACGGCAATCTATTGTAATTATTTTGTACTAATACGCATTCGGTATAACCAGGTGAAACATATCGATAAAGGAATTAATCCCTCATCTGTGAATAAGATTTTTTTTACTGGTGAATATCTTTTGAAGGGTTTTAGGATTGGCATTGTGGCTGGCATGATTGCATTGACAGTAAGCTAGTTTCATATATTTTCCTTGGTCAAGAAGTTCCTTGAGAATTCATACAATTTTTCTTCTTTCTTCTAGTAAATTCACAACTTTTTTCATAAATTTGATACTTAATAGGAAGCTGTTGCGATTGGAAGAACGTTTGCTGCCATGAAGGACTATCAACTAGATGGAAACAAAGAAATGGTTGCTCTTGGAGCAATGAATGTAGTTGGCTCTATGACTTCCTGTTATGTGGCAACAGGTACAAATTGATAGCAGTATTGAAATCATGTTTATCTAATATTGGTAGCAGTAGGAGAAATGCAGAATGATATGTTTAGTTGTTGAAACGATTTTTTGGCCACGTGCAGGTTCCTTCTCGCGTTCTGCAGTGAATTACATGGCTGGATGCCAAACAGCAGTTTCTAATATCATTATGTCCTTTGTTGTATTCTTAACATTAATGTTTATCACACCTCTTTTTGAGTACACCCCGAATGCAATCCTCTCGTCCATCATTATCTCTGCAGTCATCGGCTTAATTGACTATGAGGCAGCAATTTTGATTTGGAAAACTGATAAATTTGACTTTGTTGCTTGTATGGGAGCCTTTTTTGGGGTAGTTTTTGCCTCTGTTGAGATTGGCCTCTTGATTGCGGTGAGAATATGCCTCTCATTTCAAATTGCTTATGAGATTTGTACTTGATGATTTAAATGTTTTATGTTCTGATGATAGGTCTCAATATCTTTCGCCAAATTACTCTTACAAGTTACTAGGCCGAGAACAACAATTCTTGGAAAAATTCCGAGGACAAATGTTTATAGGAATATCCAACAATATCCCGAGGCAACGAAGGTCCCTGGTGTGTTAATCGTGAGGGTTGATTCGGCAATTTACTTTTCAAACTCTAACTATATTAAGGAGAGGTAATATGTTGTCCCATTACGCTCTCTTCAGCAGACCATAATTCCTTATACTGTTAAGCAATAAAGATTGAAATTTTGAATGACCTGACAGGCCACAAATTTGTCTCTTAAGTTTTGTAGCACAACCTATGTTTATCATGACTTCAGTTTTGAAGTTATAATGTTTACAGGATATTAAGGTGGTTAACCGACGAAGAGGAGAAACTAAAAAGAGATGGCCTTCATCAGATTCAATACTTGATAGTCGAAATGTCACGTGAGTAGTTTCTTACCTCATCCAACAATTTCCGAGCATAATTGCACTTTTCACACTGATACGATCTCTCACAACTTTTCATTATTTTCAGCTGTCACTGACATAGACACCAGCGGCATCCATGCATTGGAAGAGCTGTACAGAAGTCTCCAAAAGAGATCTGCTCAGGTATTCAATACAACTTCATTCAATACAAATGCAAGTTTGTATATATATCCCGAACTCAAAATCATTATGTAAGTTGAAAACTAACCTGGAAAATCTTCTTAATGTCGAGCAGCTTGTTCTGGCAAACCCCGGGCCGGTTGTGATGGACAAGCTTCATGCGTCTAGTTTCACAAGTCTGATAGGCGAAGACAACATATTTCTCACCGTGGCAGATGCAGTTCTAACTTGCTCACCAAAGTTTGCTGAAGAGGTTTGAGATTTGATTGGAAAATGAGGGATGTTTGAAAGATCTAGTGCTTGTTAGTAGAATCAAAGTTTATTGGAATAGGAATATATAGTGTCATTGCCAGTTGCCAAAAGGGTGCATTTGGGGCCCTATTTAGCAGTGGCTGGTGGGATCCTTCCAACCAGAAGTAATCCAGAAAGATAAAGGAGAAGAAACAAGTTTGTGATAAGATTCTTGCTTGGGATTT